AGATGGTGTGCAAAATATTTATTCGAACATACATCTTCCTCTCCGCCCCCAGTCACATTTTTTAAAATCTGGATTAGTGCATTGCTTTTTTTATTAACAACTTCTCCCTTTCCACTCCACTCCACCCCATCCCAAGGCCCTTCCCTTCTCCTCCATTTCTTCCACCAACCGTTCTCACCCTTGTCTACTTCTCCCGTCAGAGTGATGGGGTGTGTGTGTTGTTGTTGTTTTTTGCAAGAGCCAGCTGTGAGAAAGAGCAAAAGAGGGTGGACGACGCAGGGAAACATCTGCCAGGCACCGGCCTCTTACACCTGATTTCGCACTGCCCCGATGGACTCAAAGGCAGAAGGGACCAGTGGTGAAATTCAGCAGGTTCTGGAGAACTGGTAGCAAAAAATTAGAGTAGTTTGGAGAACCGATAGCGGAAATTTTGAGTAGTTTGGAGAACTGGCAGCAAAATTTTTGAGTAGTTCAGAGAACCGGTAGTAGAAATTTTGAGTAGTTTGGAGGACCGGTAGCAAAATTTTTGAATAGTTTGGAGAACCGGTAGCAGAAATTTTGTGTAGTCCAGAAAACCGGTAGCAGAAATTTTGAGTATTTCGGAGAACTGGTAGTGGAAATTTTGAGTAGTTCGGAGAACCGGTAGCGGAAATTTTGAGTAGTTCGGAGAACTGGCAAATGCTATCTCCGGCTGGCCCCAGAGTGGGGTGGGGATGGGGATTTTGCAGTATCCTTCCCCTGCCATGCTCACCAAGCCACCACATCCACCAAGCCACCCCCACAGAACTGGTAGTAAACAATTTGAATTTCACCACTGAGAAGGACCCAAATCGGGTTTTGAAACCAGACTTAAAAGCCGACGGATCGTTTCGACTCTTAGCTGGGCCACGGAGTTTAACTTGCAGGCTTCCATCCAGGGAGAAAGTTAGACGTGACGGCCAATATCTCTGCAGGATTTGAACCGCTGACTGCAGCATTTGCTACAAGCCTTTCCTAGAGATCTGAAGGATCCACCCTGAATGTCAAGGAGAACTGGGGCCATTGGGAGAGAGAGAGAGTGGCCTTAACCAGGGGTGGATTCCTGTTGGTTCGGCGTGCAAAAAAAATTCTGTGCAAAAGGAAAAAATGGAAATGACATCCGAAAAAGAAATTAGCCAAAAACAAAGAGAGAAATAAAGGCAGATGGGAAAGAGAAACTTGGGGCAGAGATACTCAAAAAAATCAATCGAAAAGTGAGAGGGAAAATACAGAAGAAAATATATAAGACACATAAAAGAAGAAGAAAAAGAGAGAAGAAAATTTAGAAATAGGAGAATTGTAGAATGATATGACCCAGAAGAAAGAGAGCTTGTTAACAAGGTAAAATTACGTTTTAATTCGAATGTGTGGGAATTATATTAAGAACCTTAAAGCTGTTCAATAATTATGTTATGTTAATTATATAAGACTTGACATTTGAAACTGGAAGATTCATATTGTTAACGGGAAATGGATGGAAAAGAAATGATACATTATTTATTTTTAAAGGGAAAGAAAAATTATATTGTTTGTATGTGTTAAAAACTAGACATTGGAAAATGGGAGAAGAAAAATAATATGGCTAAAATTGGAAATATAATGTAAAATGAATTGTGTCTTTTGGTGGGAAGGTTCAAGGGGGAATTCGGACAATACTCTGTTCACAAAAGAATTTTGATTATGTAACAAAAATAAATAAAAAACTTTTAAAAAAAGATCTGCGCATGCACAAGACATTAGAAAAGGGGAGAAAATAAAATTTTTGCAATGAAGATTGCTCTGTGTAGGTACATGACATTAGAAAAGGAAAAAAAACTTTTTTTTGCAATGAAAACTGTTCTGCGCATGCGCAGAACTGAAAATCAAGATGGCGCCGCCACCAATAGAACCGGTGGCAGACTGAGTGACTACCTACTCGGCCGCACCGGTCCAAATTGGTAGGAATCCACCTCTGGCCTTAACCCTGA